CTTGAATTTGCATATGAGTAGTTGGTGGTCTGTTCCACAATCAGCTCCTGGCCTAGTTTTCACAGCTGATATTGAGCTTCTCCAGCGGTTCTTTCCACAGATGTAATCGATCTGATTCCTATGCATACCATGGATAGCCAGGAGAATAGATATGTCTTGTAGATGGTGCAGCTGGAGTGCTCTTTGGAGACAGGAATGAGAGACATACTTTGGACATGTTGCTAGAAGGGCTATTCCTTGAAGAAGGACATGATGCTGGGAAGGGTAGAGGGTCAGTAAAGGAGAGCAAGACCCTCAACCAAGTGGATTGACTTGGTGACTGCTACAGCTATGATTCATACTCAGTGGCACCTGACAGCAGCAACATGAAGAACTGTAGTCTAACACATTTGAAAATGCATAAGAATGGACAATATTTTAGACACTCATTGCCCACCTAAACTAGAAATTTCAACAAACTCATCAGAAAAGAAATGGAACAAGTCATAAAAGCAAAAATCACAATTCCATGTCCAGGTGGTTTCACCTATACATTCTACGAAATATTCAGAGAAGAACTGATACCAATTCTATTCAAGCTATTTCAGAATATAGAAAACGGTGATGTACTCTTAAAACTCATTCTATGAAGCAAGCATAACTCAAATGTCAAAACCAGGTAAAGATACTATTAAAATTATAGACCAATGTTCCTCATGCAACAAATTCTTGAAATTGTAGTCAATAGAATCCAACTCATGTTGCTTTAAAAAAAATCATAATTAAGTAGGACTCATACCAGGTATGCAAGGATGGTTCTGCATTAGAAAAACAGTATAATCCACAACATCAGTAAAACAGGACAAGGACTATATAATCATCTCAACTGATACAGAAAAGCAATATGATAAATTTCAACACTTTTTCCTGATAAAAATACTCAACAGAATATGAATAGGAGGAAAATTCTCAAGGTAACCAGAAGCATATATATATGAAACCAACAGCCAGCATTCAATGGAGAGAGGCTGAAAATACTCCCCTTTCTGAAAGGAACCAGACAGGCATGCCTTTCATCACCACTCCTGTTCGGGATTGTATGGGAAGTACTAGAGGGACAGAATCAGTTCCAAAGACATATAACAACAACAGTTGACTGATTCAGCAAAGTGACAGGGTACAAGATCAACATATAAAAAATTGATCAGTAACAAAGAAAAAGGAAATATACTATTTATAAAAGCCACCCAAATGATGAAATACTTAAAGAATACAAATCTAAACAGAGACCTAAAAGACCTCTATAAAAAAACTCAGCTAAACACTACTACAAAAACCCCAGAGAGTGAGCTCTGGTGGCCTAGTGGCAAGAAGCTGCAACTGCAGTCTCAGAGGTGCACGGTTCAAATCCACCAGATGCTCTGCTGGAGAAGGAGGAACAATCTCCTCCTGTACCAGTTGGATCTGATTTGACGGTACACTCAAAAAATAATGAAATTTTAAAAAAAAACAGAGAGACATATGTAAGTTAAAAAACATACCATGCTTATGGATTGAAGACTAAACGGTGTAAAAATGATTAGCATTTGAGGATGCTGCACAAGCACTCAAAATGCTTCCCTGCTGGGGAGGCCCAGGACTCAGGCCACCTAGTGTTAATGTTGTCAGGGGATACTTCTTTCTTCCCAGAGCAAGGAGGGACTTCAGCTTAGACTGGTGTTATGTGGTGTGGTTGGTGGTTAGCTGGTGAACTCTGCATGAACCAGGCACCTGCACTCTGAAAGATAACAAATGTGCCATCAGATGTATCAAATTGCAGCCATAAAACTATACTCAGGCTGTCACTTGGAGTATAAATAAATACCATTTTTGAGGGAGGGTTTCCTTTTACTACCATCAGTATTCTAAGTGACAATATTCTTTCATCCAAAATCCTACATCTGTAAACTTAGCTTCTATGGAAGTGCTTGTGTACATATATGACAATATACAAATATTGATGTATTACTTGGCCAGATAGAGGGAGACTATTCCTGAATACCTATCAGTAGAAGAGAGGGGAAAAGTCCATCAGTGGTGCACATACAAAGGACTGGTTGGGGAGGCTCTCAAGGTTATTTTGTTGATGATAAAAAGCAAGCTGCAAAAATTCTCATTTCTGTATTTTAAAAACTATACACATAAGCATACACAATATTATATTAATTGGTGCCTTTGCATATCGGATGACAAAGGCTCCATCTCCTTCTAGATAGGGTGGTAGGGACAAGTTCATGAGGGAGAAAAATTGTTTGCGTGAACAAGCATGTGACTTTAAAGAATCAGTCTGTGTTTTTGAAGGTAATAGAAGGCAGTCCAGATCACACGCAGCATGCTAGCCAGGAGTGCGTGTGTTCCCTAGGAGCTGAACAGGACCTGTCGGGCCATGCAGGAGCGCATTGTCGAGCTCATCCCCCAAGTGTCCAACGAGGAGGTCACAGAGGAGCTGCTGCACGTCAATGACAACCTCAACAATGTCTTCCTTCGTTATGAGAGGTGGGAGCCAGAAAAGACTATTGCTATAACAATGGAATTTTTTTTTTTCCTTAACAAAGAAGAGAGATTAGAGTGGGGGAAATACGCATCAGAGATACAAATTTGTTCTCAGGTGAGAGGGAAAAGGTTTTTTTTCTTTTGGGAACAAGAGGCAGGAGGTTGACTAAAAAAATTAAGAAAAAAATAATTAAGCTCTACCATTTGTCAGCCTGCCCTGCTCTACCTCCCCAGCAGCTACCCAGCCTGAGGGAGGTGGATTGGAGTGGAGCTTCTGCACCTGCTCCTTTGATGATCTTTGAATTTGAAAAGGATTAAAGGAAAAGAATTTCCTCTTCTCCATCTTTAAAAAACGAATTTTCTCTTTTTGAGTGCCAGTGTGTTTAAAGTGTATAAGACATGCAGACATAGAGGCGGGTACTGAGAATCTACTTCAGGACATAGAATTCATTTCTTGGTGTAGCCAAATAGGTTTGGGGCTTAGGGTAGCAAACCTTCTCTCAGAAAAGAGTATAAACCATCTTGGTGAGGATATTGGTCTGCAGCACTCTAATCTAGTCACCCCCCCATGAACTTCCTGATTGCCCAGTGTCAGAGCCAGAAAGAAAGACCTGCCTGTCCGGAAGAGCCTTGAAGTCCTACCTCCACTCTGTGTTAGTAGGTAACTTAATAGATAACTCATCATGTATGCTATTAATGAAGATGATAACTGAAATAATTGGATTCAGTGTGACAGTTTGCATTTGGAAAACCTCTGGGAATGTTGAGGAAGATTTTGTTGTGATTGTCCCAACTATGGACTTTGTCTTAGTTGTCTGTTGTGTGTAAGTAGGGTGAGGTGGCTCTGTGCCCATTTGATAGATGAAGAAAGATCTGTAATAAGAACATGGGATCACCCACGAGACTATGAATGTCTTTTGGAGAATAGGAACAGTTTTGCTGTTCCCTGACTCGCAGCCTTTTGTCTGCTGTGTGGTTTCAGTTTCTCCATGTTGAATGGATTTGTATTTTAACCCATTAAGCCTGTTTAAGCCCCTACTACTACTACTTCTGGCATCCTAGTGGGTAAAATGTTGCACTGCCAACCCAAAGGTAGGTAGTTTGAATCCACTAGCTGCTCTTCAGGGGAAAGATGAGCAGTCAGTTCCTACTCGACAGCACACAACAACCACAGAATATGTTAATAAAAGGACTCCTGGTCACATGGTCCATAGATAGTCCATATGAGTTGTGTTCCTAACCAGAATGCTAAGTGTGTCTGCTGGTTCAAATTCACCAGCACCTCCGTGGGGAAATGTCGAGTACTCTTCACTTATTAAAATTTGGAAACTCAATGGCAGTGAGTTTGTCTTTTGAGAATATGTTAACAGGAGCCAGTAAAGACATTGTACCCAGGTTACCAGTCCCAGAGACTATGGTCAGGATTAAGAAATATTATCCCTATTTGAGTGCTTTTGTTGAAATGAATTGTCCCTCAAAGACAGAAAAGAAGTACCTGAGGATTAGAAAGTTCTAGAGACTGAGGTTGAAAACACCACATACGTCTCTTCAGGTGCAGTCACTGCATTCTGCCTTTGCTCTTTCCTTGTGGAACACTTTCCTCCTCAGGGCCCAGCCCCAGAGAGCCAGAAGACAATGTGAACTGCCGATTTCTGCTGGATCCCACTGCTCTAGACTCAAATAGGAGACTTTTCTTCGTTACCTCTTTGCCTTTGACATTTTGAAGCTTTAAAATACAACAGCAAAAAATCATTACTTCCTCTCCTAAGTCTTCCTCATATGTGCTTTCATATTGTGCTCTTGGAGATAGGAGAGAAACAGCATGATATAGCTGCTTAAAGCCAAGTCCCTTCTGTGGCTCACAAGCTACAGAAGAGGCTCCTGCAGACCCGCCCACTGTTCATCACAGCCTCTTCCTAATTGGCCCCCACAGCTCCTCTGAAGCATCCCACTGGGCTGTAAGAGGTCCTGCGCCTGTCCTCTTGCCTCATTTCCCTCTTTCCTTTACTTCTAGCCGGTTGATGAGTTTACAGTAGCACTCCTTCCTCCCACTCCTAGAACTGATGGTATTTTAGAGACTGTAGCTACTAAATGACACACTTCAGCTTTGTGAAATCAGGAGGTCATAGTTTCTGCCTGGTTTGTAGATAGACATGTGACAACCAGGGTCAGGGGCTGGCAGGGGCAAGAGGGGCATTCTGAGTCCAGGTGTTGGAAGTGGTTAGTGAGGCTGATAAGGGCTTCCTCCCTGGTGTGCACTCCAGTGCCCATGTGAGAAGCAGGGAAGCTGCTGTCCTGCAAAGGTCCATGCAGAGGAAGATGGGGGGAGCTCCGCCTCCCAGTCGCTTTGCCCCTTGAGAGACTGGTTGGCTTCCTTTCACAGAGCTCTTTCCAGGCCCTCTGAGCCTAATGTGGGTCACGTCACAGTTCCCTCTCTCTCCTGACCTCTATCTCTCCTTACCCCATTAGGTTTGAACACTACAGATCGACCCTGTCCACACAAAAAGCCACTAATGGAGTAAGTATTCCTTCAGATTTTCTAGGAAGCCTGAAGCTGGACCTTCTTCCGTGTTAAGGTTATCTGAGAGATCCACCACTATGGGGCCTCATCTCCAGCCTTTCTGACTAAAAGATTGCTCTGGTGGACAAATCCTTGAGCAAGCACTAGCAGGCCTGCCTCTAGTGATGGGGGAATGATCATGCAATGGTAGCTGATAGTGCCCACTGTCCTACTGACTCAGTTTACCTTAAATAGAGAATGAAGAAGAGCAGTGAGCAGGGTTCACTTGTGACTAGGCCCCCTTTACCCCTGAAAATGGCTGAGAGACATCATGTAGAGAGAGACCCCATGTAGCTTATATGTTGGTGCCACAGGCACTTTACCCAGAACTCTTTATAGGTCATTTGCTTGCTTTGACTTCAGAACCAACATAGGGCTCATGTCCTGACAGGTACTGAATGAAGTGACAGAAGACAACCTCATAGACCTAGGGCCAGGCTCTCCGGCTGTGGTGAGCCCCATGCCAGGGAATGCTGCTCCACCGTCCTCCCTCTCCTCCCAGCTTGCAGGCTTGGGTGAGTATCTCAGGAGCACCACGAGCCTCCCTCCCGTTGCCTTCTCTACAGCCCTTTACCCAGCTGTGACTCTGTACTGACAGCCCCTTTGTCTTTTTCTATTGAAAAATCTGGTTAGAACTTTTGAGCAATTCATTTGAAAGTATATTCCTGTGCCCCAGCCAGTTGTACCACCTTGAAGTGATAACTTCTCTCCCAAAAAAATGAAAATTTAACCATGTATTTGCTATAGTTAAAGTAATTTCACTTTTTTTTTATTTCACTTTCTATATGAACTAGGCAATGGCTGCTTGAACTCAAGATAGGGAAGGATACTGAGACCACACCAGGCGTTGGGAGCTGAGTCTTTGATCTGTTACCTGTGTTTGCCATGGCTCAGAAACGAAATTATAGCACTGACTTATTTACCCTCCTTGAACTAATACTGTCCACCTAAAGTGTTCTCTTATCTGGTACTACAGAAAAAGCTTCACCACTTGTGCACAGTTCATGCTGTTCATGTATGTGACTCCACATTGCCTTGAATCTGAGCTCACTCAGCTGACCTTCCAGTGCATTTTCAGAGGCTGTAAATTGTATAGATTTCTCATCTTTCTCCTCCAGAACAGCTGGTGGATTTACACTGCCTGCTTTTGGGTTTAGCAGTGCAGCTCCTTACCTACCAGAGCCCCCTGTATTGTTGTTGTTGTTGAATGCTATTGATTTGGAACTGACTCATAGCTGATCATGTTGTTGTTGTTGTTGCTGTTGTTATGTGCTGTCGAGTCGCCTGCGACTCATAGCGACCCTACATACAACAGCCCTAAACTCCGCTCTGTCCTGTGCCAATCGCACTGTCTCTGACACTCCCATCCCAAATATCCCAATCACTGAATCAATCCACCTCATAGAGGGCCTTCCTCTCCTGCGCCGTCCCTCCACCCTCCCAAGCATGATGTCCCTCTCCAAGGACCGGTCTCTCCTCACTACATGTCCAAAGTAAGTTAGATGGAGCCTCAGAATCCTTGCCTCCAAGGAGCCACCCGGTTTAACCCTCTCCAGGACAAATCTATTTGTTTTCCTAGCAGTCCATGGTATTCTCAGTACTCTTCTCCAGCACCACAGCTCAAAGGCATCAGTTCTCCTTCTATCCTCCTTGGTCATTGTCCAACTCTCTGATGCATAACAGGTCTAGCTGATCATACAGTACATTTTCCTAAGCAGTAAGTCACACAGGAGGAGTTTGCCCACTTTCTCCTAAAAAGCAGCTAGTAGATTCACACTACATACTTTCAGGATGGCAGCACAGCTCCTTACCCACTAGGCCACCAAAGTTCCCCTGCATGGATCTTCTTGTTGGATGCTATCAAGTCAGAAGTGACCTAGAGCTGACCATCCATTGAGTTTTTAGAGGCAACAAATCGCACAGGAGGAGATTGCCTGTCCTACTATGGCCGAATAGCTAGTAGATTCTAACCACATACCTTTGCATTGGTGGGACAGTTCCTTAACACTAAGCCACCAGATCTCCCAATATAGGTCTAAATGTAAATAAATTGGATGATGCCAGTTTATATAGAACAAAATTATAAGATAGCTAATAATTATGGCCCTGTCAATATTCTTTCTTCCATCTTTTATGTTTTATATCTGTCTTATAAGCCTTTATTCCATTAAGCCTTTATTTAGCTTTAATTCTAGCTTCTCATTTGTATTGAAGCAGACAGATTTTTGTGCCTGTGATCCAGTTAGCATATGGACATCATATTTAATACCTAGAATTAAAATATAGCTCTGTCACTGGCCTTCTTATAAACTGTCTCAGGTTTCACACTTCAATTCCTGTCCTCAGTACTGGTCTCATTCTCTACTAATCTCTCTCAGACAAGACCCTGTGACTTATAGCTGCCTTTGATCCTCTTCTCCCCTTAGCAAGCATTTGTCCTTGAGGATCACAGTTTTGTCAGTTTCTGGTCATTCCTAATATTCCTAATATTATTAACTAAGTATTGCTCTTGTTTCTTCCTGAAGCCAAGCATCATGTCAGAATCAATTTGGTCCTCTTAGGACATTGTGAGTGCCTGATAATAACTAAGTGACCCCAAACCAAAAAAATAAACTCTGCCATTGAGTCAATTCCAACTTAATACAGGACAGAATAAAATTGCCAGGAAGAGTTTCCAAGGCTGTAAATGTTTATGGAAGCCAAATGTTCCCTCTTCCACCCTTGGAGCAGCTGCTGTGTTGAAGCCAGTAGTGTTTCACATGGCAACAAAGCTTTCTAACCACTATTCTGCCAGACTTAAGTGACCTAGCCCCTTGGAAATTGTGGTTGAGTTCAAGACAAACTCACTGCTAGGGCCCTTACGAGAACTGGGTTGGCAGACTGGCTGGCTGCTGCCTATACTCCCCAGCCAGCAGTTTCTCCTTTGATGAGAGTCCTGACACAGCATAGGGTTGAGAAGGGCTTCGGGACCCAAGACTGCTCCTCTGTGACTCCCTCTGCAGAGGATGCACTGGGAGTGAGTGAGGAAAAGCCTGTACCCTTAACCCAGTCACCTCCTGACCCCTCAGCTTTGCCACCCACCCTGGTACACATTGTCCTCAGCCTCTCATGACTTGTTTTGTCTCCACAGACTTGGGGTCAGAGAGTATGAGTGGCACTCTCAGTTCACTCAAGCAGTGTAATCCCCATGATGGCTTGGACATGTTCACACAGACAAGAAGGAGTTCCTTGGCTGAGCAACGCAAGACGTACGTGGGGATCCTTTCAGTGGCTTTCTAGAGATATTAGGGGGCACTTAATGGACACAGGTCAACCAAGAGATCTTGATTTACAGTCAAGGGCTTCCAGGAGCTTTACAGTATGAATGTGAGACTTAGCATTTGATGCAGATGTCAAGTGAATGCCAGCTAGCCCTGCCTCTGCCCTCTTCAAGCTGTTGTACCCAATCTTTGAGTTCCAAGGAGAGGATGCTCTACTGCCTTTCTTTCCAATGCTGCCTCTACAGAGGTGACAGGCAGAGGCCATCGGAAATGGACTGAATTCCTGGCAGTGAGAGGACCCCGCCCTATAGTCAGGATAGCAATGCCCTGGAAGCAGCTCTGGTTAGGATGAGCTTTATGTTAGTGAGGAAGTATACTGGAAGTAGCTGGCTCCTACAGCTAGGGAATACCAGAGTGTGCTTCAAGAGCTCTGTCCTAAGCATGAGGGAGGGGTGCTTTTCCACCTCTCCTAGGACTTCACATTTTGGTGCCTTCATGTTCAGGGCTCCACAAGCTCACTGGATCCCCAAGGTCCCATGTGCCTTTCATTAATAAAAATTACTTGTAAAATAGATACAGCTAAAAGAATCTGGACTGAAAAGAAAAACCAGCGGCAAACCCACATCTCAGACCATGAGACCACCTTCCTCATTGCTGAGGCTATTGTTTTTTACTCCAAGGCACTTAACAACAACAACAGCTATAGTACCCCTCTCCTCAAGGAGGTTCAGAGCACCTTTGACCTCTGAAATAACTGAGCTTCAGAAATATTTGTTCTAGGATTGTTAATTAGATGCCAAGACATTGAGATGCCAAGTATCTCTGACCCCAGAGGAAACCAAGGCCTGAGTGTCCACTATGCCCAGAGTCCGCACTGTGGAGCCCAAGCCCAGAGCCTCTGCTGAAGTTCAGGGCACCACGTTGCTTTGGAGGAAGATGCTGTAGACCACCCATAGCTGGAAGTGGAGGGGAGGGTGGACTTCATGCTTTCTGTGCTGCTGTCCCCAGGGTGAACTACGAGGACCCACAGGCAGCTGGGGGATTGTCATCGACACAGGACAGTCGGCCACAGAGCTCTGAAGTGGTAGGTCTTCAAGTCTGCTTTTCTGCCAGGAATCCTCTGGAAGGAAGTCAGGCATTTTGGTGTAGCTGCTGAATATTTAAGCTGAATGGCTTGGGTGGAAGGCAAGGACATTCTGGGGAGAATCTGGGTGCAAAAGTCCTGCTCCAGGGCCAGGACAGTGAGAGTCTGTCTAGGGCATGCAGTGCACAGGCAGCAGGCTGGACAGGGCAGAACCCAGAGCTTGCAGGGCACAAGTCTACTGTGACCAGATGGGGTCCCTCTCAAATGTGCTCTGATACATTATTGACCCCTCCAAGGGAAAGAATGCTAGCCTGAGCCCCATCTCTGATGGAGGTTGTAACAGGATTACTACCATGAGTTAGTTAACACTAAGGTTAGAATGGAAGGGGTAGGAGGATGCAGTTCCAGAAGTACAGCCCGAGGAGAAGAGCTGAAAGGGAAATTCTTGTAAGTGGAGGGAGGGTGCTTGTTTGTGTTCCCCAAGCACAGCCTTGAAGACATGGTTTCTGTGAAACTGAAAATCATTGCAAGAAAAGGGATGTCTCTCTCTCCCCCACCCTCCTGATGTGAATGTAAAATTATCATCTGCCAAACCTATGCCTATATCTTAATACTGCTTCTGAGATTTTCTCTTTTGCTTAAAAAAGAAGTTTGTATGACACTGTGTGATGTTCTATCCATGTGTAGAGACACAAGGGTAGGGAAAGGTGATAGGAAGTTAGCCCAGTGCAGCTGGCCTTCCAGGGGTGGGAGGGCTGGCCTCAGGCCTCCTGTGGCCTGTCTCAGTCTGGATCTGGCAGACAGCAGCCCTGTTGTGTGCTTCCAAAGGAAATCTCACTTTGGGGAGGACTGCACATCTGCTTTGGGTAAGATAGGGAGGTATGACCCTTTACTGGGAAGCACAGAAGAGCCATCCTGGCTTAGGTGCCCTGCATTCCTCGGCAACCTGCCTTCCTACAAAATAAGCTAGATTGGGATTCCCAACTTTTATGTGATGGTCATGGCCCTATTTTTTTTTAGTTTGAGCCAGAATGTCCTCACACCTGCCTCAGGAAAGGCCTTTGAGAATCTGGCAAAGGTCCAGCCACTATACTAAATGGCGAGAACAAGTTCTCTGCCCAGTGGACCCTGGTCCAGCCAATCACATCTGTTGCCCACATTGGCACATTCATGCCAGAGTGTGTCTTCTGTGCCACTCCTGCTGTCAGTACCCCTGCACGGATCCCAGCCAAAGGACTTGGAGGTCTTGCTCAGGGTAGTGTTTGGAAGATAGCACAGCCCAGACCTGCTGCTGTCCTCACAGGTCCCAATGGCATCAGCATATTTCTCAAGCGTTGGGAGGGGTTTCAGAAATGCTTTACCTTTTTCTGCTTGCCAGGATGGCACCTTAATGATGACAGGAAGTGGGTACACAAGGTCATATAAATGTGAACCTTATGGGCACATTGTCTCTCCCTGAAAGTCAGGCTGACTTGGAGATGATGACATTGTCTCCAGATTACCAGTTTTGGGCAGGAAGGAATTAACCACACAGAGAAAAAGAGAAAATTGTGTAGCTTTGTCACTATAGACAACCAAGTCTATAGTCCTAACCTAAAATAATTCCATTGTTAGTAAAAAGGCAACACACTCAAATTCTGCTTTTTAAAAAAAATTTTTTTTTAAATTTTGTTATTTTTTTGTGTGTACCATCAAATCAGATCTGACTGGTACAGAAGGAGATTGTTCCTCCTTCTCCAGCAGAGCATCTGTTGGATTCGAACTGTGCACCTCTTGGATTGCAGTGCAGCTTCTTGCCACTAGGCCACCAGAGCTCACCTCAAATTCTGCTTTTAAGTTAAGAGTTTAGGAAAAGACTATGAAGGCAACTAGAAAGAAGGGAAAAAAGAGACAATAGTAGGAATAAACTAAGGCAAAAACAAAATGATTTGGTAAAAGCTGGTTGTTTGAAAAGTCTTTTTCCTGTCCAATCTGGGGACCTCATCTGGAGAAATACGCGGGCCAGCTTCTGCTGACACCCCCACCCAGGTGGAGGAGGGGTAGGTGTTTATTGAGATTCTTTGTTGTTTAACTTTTCTTCTTTGTTCTAGGCATGAAATGGGGACACCTGAGGGGAGGGGAAGGGGTATGAGGATTACATTTCCTCACATGACAAATGGCCAGCCCTCTGGAGGGACTTTTTTTTCACCACAATGCTATTGACTCCTTTGTCATGGTCTTGCTGTGACTTCTTTCTTTCTGGGACTTTGCTGTCCTTGGCCCAGCAGAGAGGTAAAGATGGAAACTCTGACCTGGACCCTATAGACAGCTGGCTAATAACCCAAGGAATGGTGAGAGTTTACCAGCGACACCAGGCCTGCAGTCAGCCCCTTACCTGTGTAACAGTCCTGTACCAACCCACTGAACACCACTCCTCCTAACCACAGCGCCATATTCCCCTCCTCTTTGCATAGTCCCTGTAAGCCACACTAGCTGCTTGCTAAGGTCTGTGACCTCAGTCTCACGGTCCAGGCCATCAGTGACACTGGTTGGCAGTGAGTAGGGGTCTCCTTCCTTTCACTGTCTCTGGAGCTGTCAGCAGTATTCACTTTTCCAGGATGAGCACAAGGTCCTGGGACTTGTGGTTGGGTGGGCAAGTGTGAACACATGTGTATTCAGGGGTGTTCCCAACTGGCTGGTCCAAAAAGTCTCAGAATCTAGTGGTTCTACATGTGACAAGTTTCTGAATTCAGTAATTTATGTCCATTAACGTCCCAAATGGATCCTAAAGAAAGGTGCATGTGCATACACGCACAGGACAGACAAAGCCCTGGAAGAGATTCATACCGAAGCAACATAGACTATCCTCATGAAGCAAAGATTTTCTGGCACAGAGACCTTGTCAGATTAGGTGGCTTTGTGCTTAGATGTTTGGAAAGGTGATTTCATTTCAGGTGGTTACTGTAAAGTGACAGTAATCCCTGTAATGAAGCACCAGCCCTTCCTGAGTGTGTGTGGGGGCTCACACAAGAGAGCATGGCAAAGACCAGAGATGTCATAAGAATTGACATAGGGCCTCTGGCCTTCAGAGTCTCTGCTCTAACGGGGCAGAGAGCTCAGATGCAAGGTGGTGGATGGCCAGGGGAGGGGCCCAGGAAGGTGGGCTCTCCAGGTAAGGCTAAGGCTCTGGGATTGCTGCTAACCCAAGAGGTCACCTGCTTGGCCAGGAGTGACCTGAATGACAGTATTTCAGGCAGGATCATCCAGAACAATATAATGGGGACAGGAGGGTTGCCTGATTGACCATGAAGTGGCCAGCTCACACAAGCTCACTCAAGTTTATTGGGTCCCCGCGCCCCTTGCAGCAGCTAGTAGTACGCTCCTGCTCTGGGTTGTTTCTAGGCCAGTCCCTGAGGCCATCTGGAGGTGGACTAGCTGGACCTCTCACTTGTTACTTCTGGGGCATGTTAGGGATCTGGTCTGCATGAGTGGCCTCAGACCAGGGTTTCTAGAAACCATATCTGCTCCACTGTCCTAACTGGAAGAATCCAGCTTGTATGTCCTTGTGCCTGTTAATCCTGTGAAAAAGGGTACTGCCCACATTGGACAGGATACTAGCCCAAGTGTGGCCTGGGCAGCTGGTGGCAGTACCGTCCTTTCCCTGCATGGGCTGCCTCCCACTTCCCTGTCCCCACACAAAGCTCCAGTCTCAACCTCCCCAAAATAAACCCCACTAATAGCTAATCTACTGTCCTACTTACTTGAGTGCAGCTTTTTGGGGGTTTTGTTTTATTTTTCATTTAAACAATGTATAGTAATAATTGCTTTGCCCTATTTGCCATAGTGCAGAAAGCTTGACTCTTCCTTAAGGTCCAGTGTATAGGTTCTTAATTTGGAAACTTTTTGTGTTACTGAGTGAGAGCCAGTGGTTAAGACTCATTTTGGGACAGTGATCAAAGTATTCTAGGGATACTGTATGAGTTTTCTAGGAGACCTCTATAGCTGCAGAGTTAGGATTCCTCATGAACTGGTGATTTTGAGGGGCTGCACTTCCCAAGGCTGCAGGATAGCTGATACCCAGCACAAAGAAAGGTTCAGTAACAAACCCAGGCTCCCTGGCAATGAATCAGCCCAGGTAACTCCAGGAAGACTGTGGGGTGAGTCCTCTAGGTGTGCAGGCTGTACCCTTATGTGAATGACCTGAATGATTCCCCAGGCAAGGCCTTCTCAAGACAGATGACCCCTCAAGACCTGGATTCAGAGATAGCCCTGCCTGCAAACCCAAATGAGAGTCTGCAACAGCTGGCAGGCCATCTGCAACTCTGGCATCTGAGAGACTAGCTTCTCTTAAGATTCTAAAGTGGGGGAGAGCTTATGCAGCCACCGTGGAGAGCTTATGCAGCCACTGTCGCAGCTTGCCCAGCATATTTTCCCTCTTGACATATCGTAGACCTACCTTTCTTCCTTGACCACTCACTGTCTTCTGTAGATCACTTGGACTAGGCCTCAGCTTGGAAAATGAAATGAGAAAATGTTAAAAATTTAGCATTTTAGAAACAGCATGGATCTTAGGGGTCAGCTGAACTCATCTCTCATGTTGTTGAATATTGTCGAGTCAGAAATGACCCCTAGCTGACCCTCTAGCAGGTTTTCAGAGGCAATAATTCTCCCAGGAGAAGATTGCTCATCTTGAACCACGTATCTTTGAAATTACAGTACAGCTGCTTAAACCAAAGTTTCAGAGGAACTGATGACTGGACCATCCTCTGGCACTCAGTACAGTCTTCTTGTGTAGCCATGATTGCTCTTCTCACTGGCCTAAAACAGGATTTCCTCTTTCTCCCTTCCTTTCTCACATTCCCCCACCCCTGCCTGTTTTCACACTTTTATTGTAAAGCTCAGGAATAATTACATGGGTCTCTTCGTTAAAAGCTCACCAAACAAACCAGAAACAAACCTCACATTTTCATAACCATGTACATAGTTAATCAGTTTGTGTGCACCTACATTGTTAGAAGAATCTTTACTCTGTTGTAATACCAAAGGCATTTCTTCACTAGGAAATTTATTCAGCCAAAGTATTGTTTCTAACCAGGAGAAACTCATCTCTGACATTATATAAATGTAACTGTTAGCCAGCACCCTAGACCTATAGTGCTTCATGCCCCAAGGCCAGGTGCCTTTCACAGAGTAACAAAGTTCATGAGTTTCTGAATTAGAAGCCTCAACTATTAAAGATCTTAGACCATTGTGGTTCAGTGGGAAAATATTAGCCTTCCTTGCTTGAGACCTGGGTTCAGATTCCAGACCTTGCAGCTTTTGTGATTGAACAGGTTTCAGCAAGCTTCCAGTCTAAGGTAGACTCAGAAGGAAAGCCTAGCAATCTCATTAGAAAACCAGCTCCTAGAAACTCTGGATTACTGCCTTCAGATCTACAGTCAGTCACGGAGATAATGCAGGACTGGGCCTCATGGTATCCATAGTGCATGGAGTACCACAAGTCAGCTGGTTCAGGGGCATCGAACAGCAACAATAAGAAAGTCAAAGGGTTCAAGATCAGTTAAATATAACTTTATTTCACAGATGAGAAATATGCATGTGAAAGTTGGACAATGAATAAGGAAGACTAAAGAAAAATCTATGACCTTGAATTATGTTGGTGAAGTGTACTGAATATTTCATGGACTTTCAAAAGAACAGACATTCTATGCTGGAAGGATTGCCAGCAGTGTGCTCCTTAAAGGCAAGGATGGTAAAATTCCAACCTTGGATATATTGTCAAGAGGAGCCTGTCCTTGGAGAATGGCATCATGCTTGGGAAAAGAAAGGATCACCAAAAGAAAGGATGATCCTCAGTGAAATGGATTGACATAGTGAATGCAGCAATGACCTTGACCATAGCAGAGACCATGAGGATGGTGCAGGATAGAGCAAGGTTTCAATCTGTTGTTCAGAGTCACTAAATTATAGGAAATTTAACAACACTTAACAACAAGAAGTGACGGTGTCAGACCAGCACCCTGCCCTTAGCTCTGCTCTCTCAGGCTCTGTAAGACATGAGAGGAGGACTATCAGATGGAGAAGCCAGTGCCCAGAAAGAACTAGTAGAGCTGTTTGCTGAGGGCTGTGCATTACATAGTGCCAGGTGCAGAACTGAGCCCTGTCCTTGCCTGTTTCCCACTCTGCTGGGCTTTCCTGAGCCCTGGACCACACCTAGAGGGTTAGAAGATGGCCAGTCTTTACACCTAAACGTTTCTTATTTGAAAAATTCAGGAGAGACATGAAAAGCGTTCCTATGAAACAGTTTTTGGAGAAGTTTCTCAAATGTCAATGATCGTTTAGCTTTTTGAACCCATTGTTTGGCACCTCTAGGTTCTCAGTTTCCTCCTAGGGGAATAAAGCAAGGTAGGTGTTGAAGGACCCATATGTGCTTTCACTGTTGTGTCACCCTGTTTGTTGTGTTGGGTGGGCCAACATTTCAAGCTCTGGCATGACCCATGTCTTCAGCCTAGCACTCTGCGATATAAACACCAACTTCTTGAAAATGAGTACCTTTTGTTAGGAGGCATAAACAGGCATAGCATTTGGCAACCCATAGCTCACATCCTGTTACCAGCCTGATAGGGTAGGAGCATGTCCTGTGCTAGGTACTGTTAGCATGTCCCATCAGGCATTTGTACCACCTGGTTAAATCACATTATTTGTGCACAAAGTTCATTTTAGGGGAATATGAACTCTTTGATATTTTAAAATTTAACCTTCTTGTGTCCCATCAATCAAAAAAAAGTAAGTGGCATAGTAGACAGAATTTCCTACTCTGCTTGTGTTTGGACAAACACAGACCCAACAAGAGCAGCAGGTCTCCAGATCACCATAGAGTGATCGCTAAAAAAAAGTTCTGGGGACTCTAGTCCCCTGCAGTGTCCTGCCACCTCCTGTGCACCTCACCCATGCCGACCAGTAGCAGGTCTCCAGGGCTGGGGGTGGGGATGCAGTCCTGGTAGGGCTGTTTGTACAGATTCTCTACTCTTTAATAAGAACTGAGACACTACTCTGGCTATTTTAACATTATTCATAACCTAGATAGAACACTGGATAAGACCAAATACAGTGCTGGTATTTTTTCTAGAAATAGTGGGCTTGTGAGTGAGTCTAGCACTACTGGACTGAACTGGTACCCTCAGTGAAGAGCAGGCAGCTCCTTTCTCCAGTTTGAGAGTAAGCATCTCACTGACATAACTTCTGAGGGGCTGAGGTATAGTATACCCATCAGACAGTAAATTATGCATTCTTAGCTGGAGGAATTGCCCTGGATCCTCCACTAGAGGCCTAGGGAGTAGGGCTGGCAATACTGAGGGAAGGAGGCTACTCAGCATGAGTGAGCGGTCTCTCCCTCAGCTTTGGAGCCAACTCTCACTCCCTGTTCCTCTGTGGAGCCTCTTTTACCACCAAAGTGAGCAGAAGAAAGGATGAGAGGAAGGAGGTTGTTGCATTTAGGGCTGCTTCATAATGTTAACCTGCAGGGACTTAGCCCAGAGCCCACACTTCCCTTTGTCAGTGCAGCCCTCATTTGAGCTGTTTTTGTTGGTGACAGTTTGGCTGCCTTCTGTCATCTAAGCTACATCCATCTTCTGGGTGCTCCACCTATCCCCAAGAAAGGCACAGGGACACATTTTTAAGTCATTCTGGCTGGGCAAAGCCCCCACCTTTGAGCTAGCTAGCTCTGCCTCCAAAGCCTCAACTTCTCCAAGCAGTGCCTTCCTCACACTCATGCAGCCCAAGGGTGGCCCATAGTGTGCAGGGCTGAGCTGTGTTCAAAAGCTGCACTCAGTGGGATTCTGAGGACTGGAACCATTGCAAGGATATCTCCAGGGAGCTTCAGGCCTGCCTTTCCTCTGTGAAGCCTGAGTTGGCATGGGTCTCCAGCCTTTCCATTTGTTGTCAAATGCTTAACTGTTTGCACCACAACGGTCACCATAACATGAAGGCTGACACATGTAGTCAAAAAGTTCTCCACTTTAAGAACGTGTATGAGACCTTCCTCCCCCAACCCACCCCCCACTAACTGCTGCTACTGCTTGCCTGCTCCTGCTTTCCCTGCCTACCTATGCTGCCTATGTGCTGCCCTGTGCATACTCTGTGGTGCACTTCCCTGTGCACACAGTGGCAGTCGTCTGTTGTGTGGGTTTTGGTTTTGTTCTGGGTGGCTTTTGATAATTTTCTTTTGTCCTGGTGTGTCTGGCTGTGGCTGTGTGGCTGTCTGGCCGGCTGCTGACTGCCTAGATCCCTGTGGTGCAGCCCTGTATCATGGACGACATTGAGCTGTGGCTCAGGACAGACCTGGTGAGACCCCTGTTATGCTTTGTGTGTAGGCATGAGGCCAGCAGCTCCTCTGAGAACAAGCCTGTGGGGACAGATGTGCAGACTCCACCTCATGGTCCTCAGCGGCACATGTGCCAAGCTCAGGAGGCATCCACTGATGCCGAGCTGGAGGCCTGTGGGATGGGGCCTTGCCCTGGGTGGTGCCTCCTTCAGGCCTGCTGGCTTGAGGTGTGCAGTTGGTGAGAAGGGGACTAGCTCACAAACATACCACTTCCCCCATAGCTCTATTTCAGCTCCAGGCTTGTGTTTGAGTTTTTATTTTTACTTTTTTTTTTAAATTGTATGCAGATGAGTGAGTCAGGTTTGGTTTTTTTCAAGTCTTTTTCACACCCTCCCAGTTTCTAGTGTCTTTGCATTACAAGCCCCTGTACCACAGAAGCTGTCTTTATCCTAAGATGGGGTGAGGCAAGCACACAGTTGTGAATGACAGGAGCGTGGCTCCTGTTCCTGCACAATGCTTTCACCTGCCCACCGGCCCCTGGGCTGGTGCAGAAATGTGATCTGGGAGGGAAGCTGACTAGTCCATGGCTGACTGCATCCTCCTTATCTCATGCTGTCAGCTGCCTCCCAGTGAGGGAGACCTGACCTAGAAACAGCACAGCCTCTTGGAATCTTAACTACCAAGGTCAGCCTGGCTGTCTAAGCTAGTGACACACCTCTTCCCATTCGTCCTTCCTAAGGACAGCAGGCTCTAGCTGGAGCCTATCACCACTTTGGGCCTCTTCCCAGAAAGGTCAGGCTTTCTCATTTTGATAGGAAGGAACTTGCCCAGATTCCAAAGGAGGAAGAGATATTCTATTATACAGTCCCCAAAGACATGCTTTGACAAGAAATAGCTCCTTCGTCACAGAGGCAGAGCAGAAAGATCAAGGCCGCTCCCCATAGGCCCCAAGATCCAGAAAGGTGGAAAGGGAACCTGTTGAGCAAGACCCTACATTAGGGCATGACAGAGCCTGGGACACACACCCCCACACACACCCCCAGCAGCCCACACTTCATCTACAAAGGCCCCCGGAACCTTCACTGCTGAAGCTGCCATATGAGCACTACATTGTCAGGCCTGACTCACTTCAGAAGCTTCAGTGGTTGACCAGGTAGATCTCTACTATGGCCCTTCCCACTGTAGTATACATAGTGACCTCTCAGGCCTTGAGGCTAGAAAGGAGTGAACACAGGTGTCTGGACACATCTCAGCACAACCTTCCTGAGACCTCCTGCCCTTTACTGTGCAAGCTAGAATTTTGATGGATGAGAAGGCCCAGGCTGAAGAACTGGCAGTAACTTTTCTGGTCTTGCTAACTCTTCTGGAAAAGCAAGCCCCAGAACCTGCCTTCCCCCCGCCCCCCCCCCCCCGTTTCTCCAGTAAGTTGACTATAAATTTTGCACCACAGCCTCTGGGAGTTGGGGAAAAGTTGGCAGTGGGCACTGGATGGGGTCAGGATCGAGGTGGGGAGGGTGGGAAGCTATACAACCTACTGAGCCTATTTCTGATTCTCTCACAGAAGGGAGATGACGCAGAAGAAGGGGTCACAAGTGAAGGTATGATGTGTCTCCTGGCCTTCCAGTCCCCTCACCCTTCTTCAAGCCCCTAGATAGCAGGCCCTGTGCTGTGCACTTTCCTCTTGTAAATGCAGCCCTCATTCCATTAAGGGCTGGGGGGTTATGTACACACACTGCCTGTAACTCCACCTGCTGTCTCCCCTGACTTCAAAGTGGGGCATCAGGTTTCCAGGTTAGATGGGTATAGTATGGTTTGACACTCGAGGGCTGGAGGCACTGAGGGGGACTTTCTGGGCATGGCATCTTTTGGAGAACCTCATTTCTTCTGAGGTACACCCTCTTTTCACTGTCTTCCAGCCCTCATACTGCTCCTCACCTCCACCTCACCCTTGTCCCACCAGCCTCTCCTTCCACTCTGCCTATCTCCATTCTGCCATCCTAAGTAGGATGTCCGGTAGGAATTTGCCGGAGGACAGGTGCACTTTGGTTTCCAAGCCCCATAGAGGGGACTTGGGCTCCCTCCTCCAGTCCTCATTGCCCCAGCCTGGCCTCCAGGGCTCATCTGGAGAGTCTACACATCAGTGGATGGGGCAGGAATAAGAGCTGCACTAAAGACTAGGAGCTTCCTCTAGAATTTTTGAGAGGTTTACAGGAAGCAGGCCATCTTTTCCCAACACCACACCTGCTTGCTGACACTGTTCCTGTCCCCTTGCCCTCAAGGTTGCAGGGGAAGAAATAGAAGCCCTGGATGAAGTATGACTTACCAGCTTGGGGTTCCCAGCCCTCTACCTCCTTCCCTAGCAGCAAAGAGAGAGGGGTGCTCTGGGACTAGGGCTTATGGAAGGAGGCTCATGTGGAGAGCCCCAGAGAGACTGGTGAGGGGAGGGTGGGGACAGGGCTACTTGAAGTTGAAGGTGACCTAACCTCCTGACCTGTCCTGCTCTTGCCTTGGTTTTGTTTACAGAATTTGATAAATTCCTTGAAGAGCGGGCCAAAGCTGCTGAAATGGTCCCTAGCTTCCCCTCACTCCCAGCAGAGACCCCCACCTTAACCTCCTCTGGCAGGAAGAAGCCTGATCGATCAGAGGACACCCTCTTCGCCCTGTGAATGCTGGTGGTGGTTTGCCTGCCTGGAGGCCCAGGGAACCTTCCATTCTGGGCACTGGTGCCCCCTCCCAAGCTCAAGTCCATATCTCCTTTTAGAATTCACTGTGTTTATCCCCAGCTTTAACCACCTGCATTTGTTTAGGGGTGAGAGACACTTGACTGTCCATGGACTGAGATGGCCCTCGCACCCTCTTGGCCACTTTCGATGCCCCTTGCCCCACTTCCACCACTCCCCATGGAGCAGGCCACAGCGTCACCTTACCAGGGCAGCCCTAAGGACCATGTCCAGAACAGACTCAGTGCCCCTTCCCCCTCTTCTGCCTCTAGAACAGACTCAGTGCCCCTTCCCCCTCTTCTGCCTTGCCCACTTCTGCCCTTCCTCCCGGAGGACTGTTGCTCTGGGGGTAGACTCACTGGCATGCTGAGGCCAGGCTCCTCATGCTGCTGTGCTCTGCTGGTGTCTTCCATAGCACCTAAACCCCAGTGCTTGAGAAGGCTCTCTGGGTGCACCTGAGGTTCTCTCACCTTTGTGACCTATCTGAGCTGGACACCCAGGCCCAAGGTCTGTGCCCAAGCTTGCACAGGCTCTTGACATGGGAGACACCCCAACCCTTGGACAGTGGCCATGTAGCATGCTGGTGGTTAGTGCCTGCAGAGATAACACTACTGTAGCCCAAACCACCACCACTCCATTCCCCCTGTCGCCCCTTGTGCACATCTCAGCCACTAGTAGAGCTACATGTGGAGGAACGATTTCCTTAATTATGAATGCAGAACCTGGAGGCCCTGGCCCACCAGGGGGGCAACCTTTGAACCCCTGCCTCCAAGACAGCTTGAGGAGTACAGGCAGCACATAGCAAAGCCCCGCTTCACTCCTGAGTCCTGGCCCACCTATCCACCCACTGTACAGACAGACAAACCTCTCTCCCTAGCAGCAGATTGCCCAAGCTGAGGTGGCAGGGCAACCGATGCCCTCCTTCATACTCTGCACTCTTAGTGTGTCTTGAATGTAGGAGAACAGTATGGATCAGGTGCCATCCTCAGGCTGTTCCCTCCCACACCCCATCCTTCAATCCCTACCCCTGTGCTGCTGCAGTTATTTCCCACCTGCTGTGGGCCCCTTCAGGGGGTGGAGGTGCTGTGGTTAGTCTGTTCCTGTCCCCTTTAGGAGGCCATTCTGTATCCTGACCTTGAGGAATTGTCAGCACTCCTGCAGGGCAGGGTAGTCTAGAATGTGGTGTCACTACTTATGCACTGGCCTGAGCAGGGAAGGAGCAGTGACCCACAATCTGGAAAGAACCTTCAGGATCTGTGGTGTGCACACACAGGAGCAGTGAGCCCAGAAACATAGCACACCTGTTAAAATCTAACATTATTCCAGCATCCTCTAGAGGGAAAGCAGAGTCCACCTGATTGACCAGTTGATGGTTCCATGCCCTAGCTCTTCATAGATACTCAGGATCCTTCTCATCTTGTGCCCTGCCACCCTCACTTCAGCTTGACCTCTACCTGTGGTCAGCTCCAAAGTCCCCAGGGCAGAGCCCCTGAGGCTCAGCTTGGCTGCTGGCACTCTGAAATTAGCTAGCTTGGTGCCAGCTGCAGAGAATGTGGTCAGGATCATCCAAGTGTGTCCAGAGCAGTCTGAGAAGTGGCCTCTGTGGAGGCTAGGATCCACAGGGTGGAGGTCCTGGCTTCTGCCCCTCATGGGCTCACATTATACAGCCATGCCAGGGGCCTCCCAGCCTTGTGGAAGGGGACGTCCCCTCATGTCCAAAGCCTGTGCAGCTGAAAGGAGGAGGAGGGCCTGCCTGAGACTACAGTACAGTTGTCTTTAGTGACTGTGGTACAGAGTCCAGGGCAGCAGGGGTGATAGCTTTTGTGGAAAAGCAAAAAGCCATTGGCCCAAATAGAGGAGTGTTACCTGCATTCACAGCCTGACACTTTGTACTTGCATGTTCTTCCCAGAGACAACTGTTCCATACAGACTGAGGCTACATAAGACGTGCCAGAAAGCACCCACAGGAGTCTACAACTTGCTAAGTTGTGCAAGAACTATAGCACCCTGGAGTGGGGGCCCATCTGGTGGCAGAAGTCCTTAGCACCTAGGTATAGGACAGGCAGTGTGGTCATGCAGAGAATCCAGGCCTCTGGTCTCTACAGTGTTAGAAATCACAGCTACAGTATGTTCTGAATTAAATTATTGCTAGAATTCTCTATGTACTAATTTTATGTGATTATAAGTTAAAATATTTATTTTGTCAAAATAATTTCTTAGAGATGTCCAGAGCAGTCTGAGAAGTAGCCTCTGTGGAGGCTGTGTGGAGAACCTGTGTTCATGTGTGCCAAGATGTGAAAATTAACCCTTTCTTGCCCATTTTTTAGCTAGTGGGAAGAAGTGAGGTGAGTGAGATCTGGGTATGCTGAGCTCTGGGCAGGCAGCTGGGTCCTGGTTGGGAGAATATACAGCAAGAGGGGCTTCTCTGTCCTGTCTTCCTGTCAACCTTTCAGTGCAAATAACCCTGAGGAGGGACTCACATTGTGGCCTTCCCCTCCCATCATGTCCAAACCAGGCATGCCTCCGGCCTCACCCTGTGAGGAAGCCAGTGACACAGGCTCTGGAAGACCCTGGTCCTCACAGCCCCCTCACTCACATGCCCACGTTTCTACACAGTGGGGTTTAGGGTGGTCTTCCTGAATGCAGGTGTGTGCCCAGAAGTCCTAATGAGAATGCTCAAAGACTCTGTGTCACCTCCACCTAGCCCACAGACTCATGCTAGGAAGACTGGTCCCCAGAGGCTCCTGCCTGAGAGGAGAACGTTCTCCTTGGAGCAGCCCTCTCAGGCCGAGTAGCACTGGTCTCCCACATATCTTGCTGGGGTTGCAGCCACTGGGGATGTCCACCAGCACCATCATTGTTAGGACCCAAGCCCTAACTGCTATTGGAATATGTCACACTCTAGAGAAGTGTCAGTGTGGGTTTGCACTTTGTAAAGTGTGTGCTATCCACCAAGCAGTTTCTGAGTCTTAGAGGCTGTTGGGAAGAGGAATGCAGAGAGCTCACTGTCCAGTTGCTTGCTTTCCCATTCCTGTCACATGTTTCTGCAAATACAACTCAGCGTCGCTGTCTACCCATTAGCCACCTTTTAGTATCACCACTCTAGTTTGGGTTCTTGCATGTAAAATACTCCACAATAAATAAAGACATAAACAAGCCTTCCTGTGTGACTGCTGGTGAGTGGCCGTGAGACCTGCGAGGGCTGAACACTTTTTTTTAATTACTAAATTTTATTAATTTTAATGAAAATTTACAGATATTTTGGGTTTTCATTCATTCATTGTTGCAACACTTTTTGTAAGCAGAGTTTTCCAGGGACTCTGTGAAGATTCCATCTGCTGCAGGCCAGTCAAGGGAGATGAAGCTCCTACACTGAGATGGTGGGACAGGGTGGTTCACTTAGCTAGTCCTTAGTCTTGAGATCCTTGCAACTAGAAAGCAGAGCTCCTACACTCAATCATGACACCAAAAGAGGCTGGAGTTTATTCTTTGTGAGCCACGATGTAAACACACTTTCCACCCAATTTCCCAAAAACCTGGCATATGCCAGAGAGATTCAGAGGAGCTTGCTGCTCAGACCCTAAGAGATGTTCAGAAACCAGGACACCCTGAACCAGGAAGCACCAGAGTCTTCCAGGGCCTGTAGGATGGAAGGCTTTGGGGCAGCAGTGAGGGATGTGTCTAGAAAAAGCAAGTGAACCATATAAGAAGGGGAGAGTGGCCTTGCAACTCTGGCCCACTGAGCCAGCCTCCTGGAGGACCTCAAGAATCCTGGAAATCCCTTCCCAATGTAAGTTTCCCTAATACATTAGCTACTGTTGTAATGAGCAGCTTATTATGAAGAGACAAAACAGATATGCAACAGCATACTACTCAAAAATTTTAACATATTGATATTCATAGGGAGCTCTGCTGGTGTAGTCCATGGGGGATTGCACTGCTAACCCAAAGGTGGCATCTCTCCACCAGTTCAAATCTGCCAGTGGCTTCACAGCAAAAAGATAGACTGTTACTTCCTGTGAGACTTACAGCCTCAGAAACCCGAGTCAGTTCTCACCCGGAGCAGTGAATGAGTGAACAAGTAAACATGTTATGACTGTCCAAGATTGGTACTTTTCTGCCCAGCTGTCTCATTTAGAAATTACTTGTTATAGTGGAAATTAGTTTAATCAGAAACATAAATTTATTAGTTAGTAAAGACTTCAATTAGAAAACTAAATAGGCCTCTGCCCGGGGCGGGCGGCCCCCAGCTCGGGGCGAGCCATCGTGGCCCTCTGCCTGGGGCGGACTGCCCTTGGCCCCCGGCTCGGGGTGAGCCGTCGCAGCCCTCTACCTGGGGCGGGCTTCCCTCAGCCCTCTGCCTGGGGCGGGCTGCCCTCGGCCCTCGGCTCGGGGTGAGCTGTTGCAGCCCTCAGGGTGAGCTCCTCAGTCCCCAGATTGTGCCATTGTCCCCAGATTGACCCCTGGGTGGGAAAGGAAAAAAAAAAAAAGAATGCCTAGGGTATCCAGAGAATGTTACCTAGACCACCTTCTGCCACCCTCCCCCCCAGTAAACCTGAAAGCAACACCCTCAAAGCCCTTCTATTTGTAATTCACAAGTTTGTTCTCTC